TGTAGGGATCGTAGGGACTGCCGTACTGCTGCACCTGCACATACACATACACACATATACAAAATCATTGCGGTTGACTCGGCATTGTTATCGGCATTACTATCTCAAGCGAATTGTAATTTCGTGCGTTTTTCCCGTCGCATTTACACATTCGCTTTTTGCGGCAAAAACACGAAAGCGCGATTCACGCAAAGCACTTGGTAATCTTCGAGGCTCTTGCCACACGCGAATGCAACGCGCAAGTGCAAATCTGTGCTATCCGAGTTATTTTCTCGAGTTATTTTGCGGCATACTTGTTGCATTGGGCTATACGTGACACAATGTTTGGACGATGATAACATATTATAACGTTCGCATAGAGATAGCAAATCTTTAAGCAATTTTATCAAAGGATACGAAATGGTATTTGAAATCATGAAAATTGGTTATAAGCTTTTTTGTTGCGTGTGATGATTGTGGGATATAAGATTTTATAGCACGAAACATTGAAAGATTCATAGAGTAGAAATATCAGTCATTAAGTTATCATCTAAAATTAAAATCTTGTAAAAAATCACAACTGGTTTTGAAAAATCAAAGATAAATCGCGAATAAACGCGAATTATCGCGGATTCCGGAGAGACGTATGATTGCGTTCTCGGCGATGATCGCCCAAGTCTCACCTGTAGCTGATGCTGATGATGATGGTACATTCCCGGCGGTGTGGGACTTTCCTGCTTGTGTCGTTTGCTCGATTGTTGACCTGCCCGCGACGAGCTGAGGTCCTCTGGTTCCCTCTTGACCCCGGCGATGCCGGCGCTCGAGGCACCGTCGTGTCGCAGGGACTGCGGGCTCAACGGAAGCGGAAGGCCACCCTGCAGGCTCTGGCCAGGACTGTGGGACTGCTGGTTGTACTGATGAAGGAAGTGGTGTAGCTCCCCTCCTCCGGCACCTTCGCCGCCTTCCATGCGATTCGTCGAGGCAGAACCGGAGCCAGGCGCCTCCTGCACCAGCAGCTTCTGGCCCATCACACCCCTTCAACAGTCCGTGGAGAATTGACCTTCAGTTATAGCTCCTTTACCGGGCACCAGAATCAGCATTGATCCGTGCCGCGCCATAAGAATGCGTGACGAATTCGCGCTATGTATATCGAAATTGATACAGCGCGCCCATTCTCGCGCTGCCACCGATTTGCCTTTTACGGGATCCACCATCTGCCATGAAAAAGATCGGATTCTTCGCGCTCATAGAATATCGTCGAGAACGGTGTAGGAATCTAACACAATTGAATCTCCTTCAAAATTCTAATGATGATTCCCTATTTCAAATATTAGACGACATTAGTTATACGGCGCATATGTTTTCTTTTTATTTATTTTTAATCTCATCAATAAGATATTAAAAAAATTTATAAGTATATAATAGAAAATAATTAAATAAAAATATTTTTGAAAAATCGAAAAAAGTTAGAGGTATATGTCTCAGTTTTATTAATATCCTGTATGTTTCATATTTTTATAATTAGAGACAACTGACGTTATATTTAGATTCAGTGTGTTCATTGAAATGATAATTGAATTGCCGACCTCAAAGAAAGACGAGAGATGGGCCGCGCTTTCATTTCTCTTTCTCCGCGCCTTGTCATCGAATGAAATTCGGCGAGGAAAATCCGGCGTTACACTTCCGCTATGCATCGCGCGCTGCATCTGCCGAATTCGGCAATAAAATTTTCGACGCGCGACGCACGCCGAGTAACGCGATTCGCCGATCGACCGTATGGTAGATGAATCGAGAGGATCGCGGTATTATGCGAAGTAGTTAACATGTTATATTTAGCATGATAATACGTATCCACAATACCGGGGACCCTTATAAACTGCCAACGCTCTCTCGGTGCATGCCATCCTTCCCTCGTTCTCTCTTTCCTTTTATCATCTCTTCGTCTTTTCCGACGCGAAGGATCGCCCCTCGCCGTCTTTGCCGGAGTGTCCTGGCAACCTTTACCGCCAGATTCTGTCTTTCTCTTTCTTGTTAACCCTAAAAAAGTATACATCCCTCCTTCTATCCTTTCGCAACGTCGTGTCGCGGTGCCTACCCTACGGTCAGATGCTTCCGCACAATGACCTTTTTTTTACACTTGATACCTGATCTCTCGTCTACCGCTCTCTCTTTCTTTTCTTCTCTCCCGCCCTGCGATTCTCTCGCTCCTGTCTGCCTCGTAATACGACGAAAAGGGTGACGCCGAGAGGATGAGAGACTATCGCGTCGCCCTCGGCACACTTGTGCACCCTGAAGAGGTGCGGATAGGCCTCGGGACGGGGAAAAGACGGCGGGTAAACCCGGCCGCGGCCGAGACCGCGTTCTCCCGAGCAAAGAGAACGTGCTGTCATAACCCGAGGCCATAGGCGGCGAGGCCGCTCATGAATTCGGCTTACGTGAAATGGATCCGCGCGCGTTCTCCTTTCGCGACGTCTCTCGCGAGAGCGTTTCCCGATAATGCGATGCTAATCCGGGAATGCGCGGTGCGAAACGAGATTCGCGTGCGCGTACCTTGGGAACTCGATACGATGCACCCCTGAAAATTTGGGATCGTTAGGTGTGATGTATCAGATTGCGAACCGAGTCTGATTGGCGTTTTAAGCTCTCGGGAACGTCTCGGTGGTTTTGTGTGACTGTCATCGACATATCTTCATCCACGCCCAGATTCTCGCGACAAAAATTTCCGTTAATTAAAAAAGTATCGTTATATTTCTTCTAAAGTGTGTTTCACGTTTCCCAAAAAATTTCAAAGGATATATGATTTTTTTTATATCTATTTACTCTTTCATCTCGTTTTAAGTAAAATAATGCATTCATAATCACAAGTTCCGAAATGAATCTCAGCATTGACGGAGTGTTGTTAAACAATGCGCAAGATATTTTTTTCGCGGTTTCCTAATCATCGATGAGTTAAGTACCGAATGTTAGTGGTCGCGCAAGAAGAAGGGAAGAGGAAAAGCACACAAGAAGAGAGGAATGACGTTTAACGTAAAACGAAAGAGAGGTCAATGCTCGCTTTCGGCCAGCCTTTCGTAGAGTTACCTATGCGCATGCAACCAGTTTCGCATTGTCGTGCGAAAAATCTCAAGCGAATGTCAATAAAAAAACTACTGCATGATGCATGAGCAAGTATTTTAACCATGAAAAAGCGCGATAAATCAACAAATTCTGCCGATATCGATAAGATGAACCTTGAAAAACAATTAGAGATATATTATTATGACCATAAATATAGTTTTTGGCGAAGAAAATGTATCATCTTTGCCGTGCACTTAATAATCTACGATTTCTGTAATCATATGCTTATTCATTTTTTATTTTCGTTCAAAAGAAATTCGAAAGTTCCATATATCTTAATCGCGACGTATCATTTTTAATATCCTGTCTCTGTTTCGAGAAAGATCAATCATCGCTTCGCGATGATTCGGGGCAATTTAACCGTTAGATATGTGTAGAATTTCGAACGAAACAAACGGTACAAGATGTTGCTGTCCGACGCCGACCGTTTTTATCGTCTCACTTCTGCTCCTCTGCGAGGAAACGCCGATCTCTACGACAAACGGGGGACGCCGCATTCTTTTTCAGTAAACGCGCGTGGAAAATCTCGTCCATTACACCGGTATCCTCGGTGCGAGTATCCCCCGATCTTCTCGGGGGTCAATAAGCGCCGCGCACGAATTCTCGTGCCCCGGCGTGAGTCGAGCGCACATTCGCGCCACAAACGAGTAAATTACGCCGCGTTATACGCGGCATTCCGCGGCGCGGCTTTTTTCTTTTTTCTTTACCACGAAGAGGATTCCGCGTGCGCAATGCGCAGCGTAAGAGGCAATTACGTACTTACGGTGCAGCATTATCGACGACAAGGCACTCGTACCGGACGACGGCCCGACACGTGAACCTGCAGGTCGCGCGGGGTCATCGCTGGGTCGCGACACACACGGCCACTTGTGCGTGTGTACGCGTACGCATGCTAGCCCTGTCGAGCAACCTGCGCGGGCGCCAGAACGCGGTTTGCGGTACCGCCGCTTCAGGCTCGCGGTAGACCCGCTTCGGAAACCGGAATCGGGCGTTTCTCTAACCGGAAATCGGGCGTATCGTGGCCCGTACTCTACCTACTGTGCGGGCACATGTGTGTGTGTGTGTGTGTGTGTGTGTGTGTTGTGTGTGCGCGCGCGAACGACCTATCCGTATGTGGCACGAGACGAAACCCGAAAGACAGGTCCGGCAAAGTGGCGCTCTACCGACTCGTTCTCGGGTCACTCCTTTGATTATCATTGTCGGTCTGCTCTTTTTCCACATCTCGCGTATACGGGCCTCTCGCGCAGGTCTACGGACTTCTTGCCTTTACAAGCGCACGCATGCACGCACGTTCGGCACCTGTGCTTATAGCACGTGCCACCGAGTCGCGGCAATGTCAATGTATGCATACATATGTGTCATATATATGGACGGACGGAGAGGAATGATTTTAAATGCACGTGGCGAGGCCAACGACGTCTAGCACTTCTCACGATGGTCGACTGGAGCGGCTTTCCTAATGCTTTACTTCCTAGGAGTATCGCGCGCAGTTCTCAGAATATGTTACTGTCGGTGACTTTCGGGGATTATGAAACGTCTCTTGACCCCGGTCTTAATGTTTCGTGTTTTCAACTATGTTTTTGTGAAAGCACTGCCGTTCGTATTTTTCGTAACTAGCAGGAATTGTTGTATAGAAAAAGAATATACATATCAAAAATATTATCATTCTCTCTTCTCAAGAAAGAGAATAGAAGAGACGAAATAGAAAAGTTTAATTAATCGATAAAGAGTTTTAATGAAAACGAATATATAAAAAATAAAGATATTATATTAAATTTCGCAAGATTTTCAAACTCGCACCGCTTTTAAGAGACACCTACAATTTAAAAGTTTCTTCAGACTCATAAATAATCGCGAATATTACGATGCAGATTTTGCTTCGATCAAGATTATACCGATGAGTGGCCTATCATCAAATGTTTGAATGGTAATCTTACATCGCGGAGGTGCGATTTTCCTTCTCGTGCAACAATTTACGATATTCGATGTCGAGAATGCTTGTACATCGCAAACTCGAATTGTGATGTGAGAAACTCGACACTACGATCTGTTAGATATCTCTTGAGGTCGAATCCTCGACTTTTCTTGTTCGGTTCACCGCGGTCGTCGATGGAATAGCTAGAAATTCGTTCTGATTCTCAGACCTTCGTGTGTCCTCGAATTCATCCGCACCTTCCTGTTTCGCTAATGAGATGTTACGTGATCCGGTTCTCGGACTACGTGATCCGGTTCTCGTACGTTCGAGCAGCGTGAATCAACCCCTGCGAAAACGTGTCCGTTTAATGCTCTTTGACTTCGTTACGGCAATTGAGATCGTTGGCACGAGAAGGAAGTTGGCCGGATTTAAAATGTCTTTTGTGACCCCGAGACGAGATCTAAGATCCTGCGTTCCCGCGGTCGCAAGACCGATGATTCTAGGCGGGATACCCGTAAGGTAATACAAAACATACGGCGGCGTTTCTAATCGTAAATTCGAGCTAACGAGATAATATCGCCGCAAGCTAACTGTCTTGATCGAGCGATCCAGTTCTTGCCTGGTAATCGAGACCTCATAGTTGTACAGTGTTGTCGACAGCGCAACATCACGACGTGCGTAATTGGCGACACTATTCGCCTTCTTTTCCGTTTATCAATGTTACTCTCGCAAAAAATTAAATACGCAAATAGAATAAAAATATATTTAAAAATATATTTGGTAATACGCAATTTATAATTAGCAATAAATAACTTCCGCCAATTCTATGAAAATCTATGAAAAATCTAAAGTCTACTTTACCGTGGTAAAAGTTTTCAATTTTTAACATTGAGGATTATAACGGTTAAGCTTGAAATTTCCGTATCAAGATAAATACAAATATTTAATTATTTAGATTATTTATACTATTATATTAGAATGCTTTATTATGAATGTTTCATAT